TTCGGGGTTTCGGGGTTTAGGGGTTAGGGTTCGGGGTGCGGGACGTATAAGTTTAGCGAATCGGGGCTTAGAATGTAGGGTGCAGAGTACTGGGCCACATCATGCAAACAGCTTAGGGGTTTCGGGCCCATCTGTGCTCCATCAACCCTAAACCCTATACCCTAAACCCTAAACCGCCTTTCAAAGAATAAGAGTAAGACTCCACATCAAAACCAGTCACCTGTTCCTCATGGTCATCCTCTGTGCAGCTCCTAAACCCTAAACTCCCTAAGCCCCTGTACCCCCCGAGCCATCTAAACCCCATAATCCCACTAAACCCCCAAGGCCCCCTAAACCCCCAAATCCCACTAAGGTCCTTAGACCCCCTAAACCCCTAAACCCACAAAAACCCCAAACCGCCTAAACCCTAAACCCTATACCCTAAACCAAACCCCTCCCACCTTGGATCCAAGCCTGGGACATGCACGTGGCTGACCGCATTGCACACCTCTTGGAAAGTTCCGTGTTTTGGGTTCAGGGCTTAGGGTCCAGGACTTAGGGTTTAGGGGTCCAGGACTTTGGGTTTTGGGATTTAGGATTTAGAGTTTTGGGGTTCAGGGTTTAGCATGTAAAGTCTAGACAGATTTAGGGTTAGGGACTTGGCGTGTGCGTTTTGGATGTAGGGCCTCGACTCATCACAACTCATTCCGCTCGTCACATGATAATAACCCCCTTCTACAATCAAGCGCTGATGCAATACGAGCTATAGTCTTGACTCCGAGTATCCCGCTTAATAACCCCGATAGTGCTGACTTCTGCTGGTGGGGTGGAAGAGGTGGCGGCGTTGGTGGCGGCGGCGGTGGTGGCGGCGGCGGTGGTGGCGGCAGTTGCGGGGGCGGTTGCTGTGGCCGTTGCCCCGGCAGCGGTGGTGGCAGCGGCGGTGGTGAGGGTTTGGGCCATAGGACATACCCGTAGATGGTCATAGTGGTAAGTTCAATGAGGATGGAAACAGTATGCCCGTCCTGCCCGCCACCCCTGCAACAATGATGTACCATTAGTAAATGCTTGTACTGTGTTGGCAATATTTTTATTAGGTGCTTGGCAGGCAGGGCCTGATAGGGGCACCTCTTGTAGCCCTTGTAGTCGTTTTGTTTGCCTTTGGGAACAATATCAAAAGCCATCCAGAAGAATGTCACGAGCATGAATTGCCAAGAACTATCATAGCCTGTTGCAAGAAATGGCGTCATACGTAGAAGACGAGGAAGAAGCAACTCCTTCCAACATCTTTCCGAAAAGAAGTTGTGTCCCCGACCTCCTTATTATTGTGAATCGTTAGACCTTGACAGTACGAAGCATTTCAAGATTAAGACTCCTCTGACCCAAATGATGCAGCCGAAGGTTTATGCTAGCTAGGGTTTGAGGACTAGCGTTCAGACTGCATTTTTCTCGGATGCTACATGCGTTCTGGTCCTACTGTACCCCTACCTACTCACCTTGCAGTGATTACAGAAGTCCCGTTCGCCTACTCTGTACCAATCGACTAATCTACACATTTAAAAGCCTATGAGCTATAGTCTAAAAACCTTAAAATGGGCTTATTCAGGGGATTGTATAGGGGCGCTCCCGTTGAAGCCAAGAAGCGGGATCAATGACCAGCACAGTGTGTGCACAGCATGGCGAACAGTAGAGACGACCGTCATCGGCAAGACAAATGCCAGACCACTTGTTCCTCATCAGATGAACTTCATTCAATATGTCCCATAAATTCATGGACATGGGTTCTTCTTAGGGAAGGGACTATGGCCTGTGCGAAATTACCAAAAAGGCCCCTATGTCCGCTCTTACTGGGCCCTTGGTAATCCTAATGTTGACAGTAGATCAGCTGAAATTGCGCATCATCATGAACCAGCTATGTGCCGGGTTGAAACGAAGCCCACTTACAAAGACTGCACGAAGACGAGAGCTTATGGAGATCAATTTCTGGACTTGGTGCAATTTGCGAGACGTGTGCTTGCTTTTGAAGCCAGGGCAAGGGTGGGAACACGTGAAAATTGCTCAAATTTCACAGACGTAGGTGGCGTGCGACTGTGTTTTCGGCCCAACTTTAAAATCACATCCCTAAACCCTCAACCCGAAAGCCTAAACCCTAAACCATACATGATACATCTCCCTCACCTGCCTCCCTAGTCCTAGCAGAAGGACCGACCCGAGCATTTATCATTGAGGAGAGGCTGGTATAAAGAATGAAGGTTTAGAGTTTAGGGTGTCGGGTTTGGAAGACGGCCTGTTCAAAGGAATAAAGAAACAGAATCCCTATTTCAAATACGGATTTTCTGTTGGAGTCCTTCTACATAAAGATGTTTTATGAAATTAAAGCGAAGGAAGTGAGGTAAGAGCAGCAAGCTCTTGATGTTGATTAGATCTGTTGGAATCCTTTTCTATGAGCTCTTTCTCAGCGCCTTTTCATGGATCCTTGCTCTTCCTTGTGGCGACTTGCCCAATCACCTCAGAATCCCGTCTATGTCATGATAAACAGCCTTCTACTGCAACTGGCCTCTTTTCGTAATCTTCCAGTGTTTTAGATTAAGCCCCAAAACCTAAAACCTACACGCTACACTCGTACCCAAAAACCTAAAACCCTACAACCCTACACCCTAAAACCGTAAACCCTAAAACCGTACACCCTAAACCCTAAAACTCTAAACCCTAAAACTCTGAACCCTAAAACCCTAAACCCTAAAACCCTACACCCTAAACCCTAAAACCCTAAACCCTAAAACCCTGTCGGGTTGAGTATACTTTTATGACTTAGAGTATTCTCATGGGAAGCGATTGCTATTCTCTCTTTTGGCACCTGTGCTCTTAGGGATAGGATACGCTTCTAAACCCTAAACCCTAAAACCTAGACCCTAAAGGTTTAGGGTTTAGGGTTTAGGGTGCAGGATTTAGGGGATTTGGGGTTTGGGGTTTAGGATTTAGGGTTTGGGTTTCAAGGTAATCTTGACAACAACTGGCTCACATGAAGTCTTCCAGGATGCCCCTACGTTTTGCAAGACTGGTTTAGGGTTAGGGTTTAGGGTTGCTGTTGAGGAACTTAAACAAAGTTTCCATGGTATGGGTGTATAATAGATAATAGGTTAGTTGGTGCGAATACGCGCCGTGCAGCTAGTTCCTTTGTTCTAGTAACCTCATCTAAGGTCCTTAACAGTAACCCAGAAGGACCTGGGTAGAACTTGAGAAGGTAGTTGCATACATGTTTTTTGTTTCAAAGCTGCTTATAAGGCCGAACCATGACCCCTTCCCAGAACAGCGAGGAAAACAAACAAATTCTCAAAAATCGAACGTTGAGGGTGGGGGTTTTGGGTTGGAAGCCCAAACCCTATGAGCCCTCAACCCTAAACCCTACGCATGCACGGGGACTTGGCGACTGAGTGGGAGCTACGGGACCGCTACAGTGACCAGGGCCAATATGAGCTATGGTCGAGGCTCCTCCCCAGGAGTTTTGGGTTTAGGGTTTAGGGACTAGGGTTTAGGGTCCCAGTATCCCCCTTGATAACCCATAGAATACTCCCTTATGTGATCCTCTATATAACCCTCTATATGAAATCGGGGCAAACGGGATATAGGACATTTGCTCATGCATAGGATATGGTAATTTCCCTCAGTAGGGGGACCCCGCATATTCATATACACCCCCAAATTTTGGGGACCTCGAAAAAAGTACACCAAATTTCTGGAAACCCCCATATAGTCCTTGTAAACCACGAAACGGGACGCCCAACTCTATCCAGAAATGATATCCACTTAAAACATTCCCCATACTACACAATAAGCCCAGTTTGCATGTCATGTTGTTTCTCTTCCACGTCTGCGTTGCCGAGGTAATATCCCTAAGCCCTAGATCCAGTTGCAAAACATCCAGGTCCCTGGATCATCCCGCAGCTCCTAAACCCTAAACCCCTAAATCCCCCTAAACCCTAAACCCCTAAACCCCTAAACCCTTAAACCCTAAACCACTTGCTACCTAGTGACATCATGTCCGGGTTCACATCAGTACCGATATCAATGGTAGACAACTCCCAGGTGTTGGCATCGATCCTGAGATGGAAGTTGAAAGCTCAAGGTCTGGCTTCATGAAATAGGGTATCCATAGGGGTTATGTAGGGATAATGGAAAATGAAATGGAAACTACTATTTAGGGTTTAGGGTTTAGACCCCTGATTGATAAATCTCACTTTCTTTTTTCAGGGCCTTAATATTAGGATCCCCATTATAATCCCCATTAAGGGGAGTGGGTTTATTAATCAGGGGTCTGGGTTAGTTTTAAGGGCTTTACGGCTTAGGTAAAGGGTTGACGGCAATTTCTGACCTACAGCCTACCCGCGCCAGAAAAAGCTTTAGGGTTAAGGGTTTAATCTTGGTCCCCAAAAGGCCGAAGCCCCCAAAGCAAAGCTGGATCGATGTTTAGGAAGTTAAGCTAAGTTGCTATAAACTGGGAACTCTATTATATACTATATACCCCTATTACTGGGTTGCTGTTAAGGAGCTTAATTTAAGTTACTATATTGGGGAAACCCTATTATTTACTATATATACCCATTATGGTAACTTAATTTAAGCTCCTTAACAGCAACCTAGATTATGATGACTTTAGTTGATTTCCTTAACAGCAAGCCATAGAGGTATAGGTTCTTTTGAGCACCCCCTTCCATACTACGCCGCTTGGTTCCCCATATTTGGGGGTTTCCCAAAATTAGGGGTACCTTTTTGGGGGTCCCAATCATGAGGACTATAGTATTTTGGGGTCTATATTGAGGTACCCCTATTTTGGGAAACTACCATTTAACCAATGAATAGCCTTTCATGTAAAGGGGGCTATTAGGCAAATCCATAACAAAATGTGCAGTCCAAGAATCACTAAAACACGGGTGGCATCGCGAGGCGAGCAGTACAGCTTGGAATTGTGTGCGGCCGCAATGCCACTCCAGTGGGTGTGATGCTCGCCCCAGCTGTCAGTTTCACAGGTGTCCTGTACCCCATATACCCCCTATATAATCCCTATATAACCCCTATGTAATCCCTATATAACCCCTATAAAACCCCTATATAATCCCTATATAACATCTCTTTATAACCCCAGTTCAGTAGGGTTGAGGAAGAACCAGGGACTTTATGAGTCTACATCCTGATTATCACTGATGTCGCGCTCTCAGTCAGGACGGCAAGAAGTCCTAAACCCTAAGCCCCAAACCTTAAGCCCTAAACCCTAAACTCTCTGCTTTCCAACAATGGGTCAAGCCTTGGAGTTTTGGGGGTTGGGGGTTTTGGGGTTTAGGGGTTTTGTGGTATCTTTTCCAACAGCCCAGATTCCATGAGCTCTTCATCGTAGATGGTGTGCAGCCTGCTCTTATTGGAATCAATGACCAACACCTTTCTGCCAGACGCAGGTGAACAGTACCTTGGATTTCGTCGATCCCTAAACCCTAAACCCTAAACCCTAGAAAAACATGACGCACAGTTGAGGTTTTGGGGTCCAATTGTTGGAGCTTGGAGCCTAGGATTGCCCCAACAAACCTACTACAGGGGCCTAAATCATTACCAATATCATTTTGAGATCCTTTTGAAGTACCATCTACTATAACTATACAAGGACTATGGAACCATGATATTGGTAATTATTTAGGCCCCCAAACACTAAACCCTAAAAACAATGAGCCCAAAATCCTGAACCTGAAAGAGGGAGGACCTTGGCAACGAGTCGTCAGCTCAACACTCTAAACCCTTTTTTTAGGGGGGTTAGGGGATTTAGGGTTTTAGGGCTTAGGGTCTAGGGTTTAATTCGACAACGTTCTTAACAGTGGTTAGCAAGGAATGAAGAGAGGGGTCCTAATAGTAGGCCTCTTCCTCATCCCCAATAAAAGTTGAATTGGGTTCAGGGTTGAAGTTACAGGGTTTAGGGTTTAGGGTCCAGGGAAACAGAATTAAATTGGGTTTGGGGTTTAATAGGGCTTGGGGTAAAGGGTAAAGGGAAGAAGAAGTTGAATTTGATTTTACTGTAGGGTTTGAGGTTCCCTCATTCCCTGCTAACTAGAGGTAAACCCTAAACTCTAAACCCTGAAGTATTTGGGCAGCTTGAGGTCCCAGACACATGTAGCCATCTGCGATTGATGCAATACCTGTCCACGTTCCGTCCTTAGAGGCATCCCGTTGGCTTCGGGTTTAGGTTCCAGGGTGTAGGGACAGGGGTCTCTAGGGACTCTCAAGGATTATCTAAGGCTACATAGGACTTCCCCAATAATGAAGAAGGAATAAACGGATGTTGCGTGTCTACACATAGAGGCTTTATAGAGAAGTATGTACTGCAGTGGCCTGAATGATTACCAATACCATTTTGAGGTCTGTTTGAGGTACCCTATTCCAAGATCATGCAAGGAGTCTAGAGCTGTAATTGTGGAAAATGTGTAGGCCCTCCACTCGGGCTTGGATTTGGGTTTTGAAGTCTTTAGTGTCCAGGGTAAACCCTTATAAACCCTACACCCTAAACCCCAAATTTGAAGTCTTTAGTGTCAGTAAAGTTCGAGGATTCTCATCGTGTATACAGAGCGCAAGAATCCGCAAGAAGATGCGAACTTGATTCCATGCCTCCATGCCAAGGAACCTGTTAACCTTGAAGTCTCAAACCTATATATGAGCTATAGTCTATAGTCTTAAAAGGGGATATATAGGGGGTTATGTAGGGGAGCATTATAGGGGTTCTTAAGGGGATAACTCATATTGCCATATTGCAGAAACACTCAAACCCTGAAAGCCCTGAAACGGTTCAGCGTAAAAAGGTAACTCCTAAAACTCGCGCGCCTGTCTTCCTGAGAATATGCTGTGTTGAGCCTGGACATGGCAAATACATCTAGAGTAAGATATGGGCTGTAGAAACATGCGCACCTATACCCTAAATCTTAAACCCTAGACCCTAAACCCTAAATCCCAAACTCGAAACCCGAAACCCTAAGCATCTACTGTAACACCCCATCCAGGATGAAGTAGCTGAGCGTTGAGGCTTTGAGGGCTTAGGGCTTTGGGGCTTCGGGTTTAGGATCATGCTGGCGGCCTTTGCGGCCAAAACCTTCCTAGCTAATCAGCCGAGCTGCTCCAGGCGGACCGTCAATGTGCAGGAAATCAAAACTACAAGTTCCCGGGTCAAGCACTGCGACGCAATCCCCCGCATCAGGTGGTGAGTAAAGCTTTCCTCTGCTGGCCTTAATAAGATGTCTAGGTTTTCAATTTGAGTGTCGAACTTGCTGAAAAAGTAGTCAACTGATTCAAAATAACTACTCAAGAACGGTGAAGTTTCCGTTGGGAGCGGCAGCAATACTGCCGAACGAGTACAAGTCAGACGCATGATTGTCAAGTACCTGTGGGGTTTACCTAAACCCTATATGGCCCTATGCGTTTAGGGTTTAGGGTTCAGGGGTTAACCCTAAACCCTTCAACCCTTCAAACCCCAAACCTACATCCTAGACCCTAACCTGCATTGTTTACACTGTGGCCTTGGAGGCCATCAGGCTTCAGACGCCAGTAGTATAGAAGATACCGTGTTGATCCTAAACCCGGAGCCGTACACTCTCTGAACCCCAAAGCTCTACACACAAACCCTGAAATCTAAACTCTAAACAGAAAGCCCGGCTGATCGCAGACAACTTGCCTCTGAACCCTAAACCCTGAGCCCAGGCACTGCTGAAAGCTCCTTGCTGTTGGTATCGAAGACCAAGGCCCCAATTACCTTTCTGGCTGTTTGGAATGGAAAACTATGCGCTGAACCCCAAACCCTAGAAACCTAAAATCCTACCCTAAAACCCTAAATCCTAGACCCTGAAACCCTAAAATCCTAGAACCCTAAAACCCTACATTCGAGACCCAAAAACCGTAAAACACTAAAACCCTAACTCGCAAAACCCTGAACCTAAAAGCCTAAATTTAAAACCCTAGAACCCTAAACCCTCAACTATAACCCTAAATTCAGAACCCCAAACCCTACAACCCTCAAACCCTAAACTCTGAAACCTAAACCGCTAGCCCTGAGGCTTGGAGAAGGGAATGGGCGGGCATTCCCTAGGGTTCAGGGCTTAGGGCTTAGAGCTTAAAGGGTTTAGGGTGTAGGGGAGTCCACTCCTGCCTTCGTATTATCGGTTCAGGGTTTAGGGTTTTGGGGTTTAGGGGTTAGAGGGGTTTTGGGATTTAGGGTTTCTCCTAACCACCCCCCACTATTCAACCTATCTCTAGGTTCCCGCCCTTAATCGCAGCCTTAAATATCCACAAATTACCTTTATTCAGGGGGAACCTAACGGGTATATAGTCAAGTGGGGCGGACCATAAGGAAAGGATCGGCTTCAGTAGAAAGCTACGGAAAGATTGCAGTTGGGCTAGCCCCTACGTCTGATGCTAAGAGTCTTGCATGACCTTCATGTACCCGCAACTTCGAGGTTCGGGCTCAGGGTACCCGCAATTTTGGGCGTGGTGTGATTATGTTATATCAAGTTGAAAACCCTAAACCCTAATTTTCGGCATCAAAAGTATCTCTGACAGTGCTGCAATGTGACAGGTTCATCCCTAAGCCCTGAATCCTAAAACCCTAAACCCTAAGAATAAGAATACATGTTTGTCCAGGCCTGAGCTTCAGGGCTTTCTACAAGGTTTCTTGGAGGCTGGGGTTTTAAGTGTTATTGTTTAGGATTTAGGGTGTTCAGGGTTTAGGGTTCAGGATTTAGAATTTAGGATTTAAGATTTAGGGTTTCGGGTTTAGGGTGTAGGGAGGCGGGGGGTGGAAGTGGGATGCTGCATTACGGCCCTTCCGTTGAGACGAAGAGCGCCCAATCACAAACCCAGCTCCTAAACCCAAACTCAGTCCTCTATCCCTGAACCAAAACCCAAAACTCTCATCTGCAAGCCTGAGCCCCAGTACCTAAACTCCTAACCCTAAACCCTTGAATCCTAAAGCCTCAACCCTAAATTCTAACCTGAACTCTCATCCCTCCATCCGATGCCTCAAGTGTTGGTCGATCAGGATTGCCCGTCCACGTCAGATGGGGGAAGCGCTCTTGCAGCTGGTGATAGTCGCTGTAAAAAGTGCTCATCGTAGGTGCAAAGTAGATCCTGCCTAGGGCTTAGGGTTTATAATAGGGCTTAGGGGTTTAGGGACAGGGCAGTATAGGTGCGAAATTGTTCTTGCCTCAGGCCTCGGGTTTATGACATGGTTTCGGAATTGGGGTCTAGGGTTCAGGGGCCCGTGACGTGACCCCCAAGTAGCGCCTACCTACAGCACTAGTTCCTGAAAAGCTTCTCTGCTTTGCATGTGAAAATACTGCACCATACCGCACCTCAATTTATTTTCAGGACAGATGGGTAATTCTCAAAATCAGCCCCACCAAATCTTCAAAGTTTGGCGCGTAATCCCTACATAGCCCTACATGTTCATGTGGTCCCTATAGGGTACCCTCATGTTGAGAAACCCCCCATATCTGGAGGTAAGGGGAACCCAGGGTGGAATCTCTCTTGAGTCATCACCCAAAGATTCGAGCACCTGGAACTACTATTCATTACGCAGCCCTCCACAGTAAACTTTAAATCCTGATCCCTCAACCCTAACCCCTGCAAAGCAATGCTTTTGGCGGACTCTGCTACCATCAATCCCGAAGCAGTAGGCGTCAGCAGCCAGAGAATCCAGCAGCTCATCATCATCCGGTAGGGCCGTGGCTTTTGCCTTTGTCAGGCTTCAGGGCTTAGGGTTTAGGGTTCAGGGTTTGTTGATCTGGCTACCTCCAGTCAGCAAGGAATCCGTATTCATAAGTTTCCATGTCTTTTCATGGCTTCATTCCCTGCTTACCCAGGTAAGTGGTTCGCGAACCCTATCATCCATTCAGGGGGAATTCTAGGGATGAGCAGTATAATATATATTAATACACATGTTGAGTATAGTACTTCAGCTTGACTTTGACTTTGACTTTGAGAGCACTCAGAGGTTGGTTCGCGGCTTAATTAGGTGACATGCAGAGCAGCCTGGCGCAGAAATCAGTGCAGCTAGTACACTGTATGCACTCAGGCGAAACAAATGCAGCGATCCCTCAGATATTCTGGAAACACATGCACACGCAATCCTGCTGAGGAGTGAACTGGCGCCCCTAGGCCAAAAGCCGTCCCCAGGCAGAAAATTAAGAACAACAGCACAGGAGGAAGAGGCCTCACAAATGAAAATCGAGAACAAGCCTTGCCCCATGAGCTACCACGAAGGCAAGGCTGCCAGCACAATGGCACTCATACAGCTCGCTGATCAGATTCTTGGCCTAGCCCGTGTCGATCACTCGGGGACTGTCCGCTATGGAGTTGGCGAAGAACTGATTGCCCCGGCGTGTCTCCTTGATGCAGGCCCTTCTGGCTGGGAAGCGCTCGTTCACCTGGTTACTCGCCTGATCCGGCACTTTGAAACCAATTGGACACCAGTCCACATATTGGATGGTACGCTTGGACATGATGGTAGGCAGAGCAGCGTTGATATCCTTTGTAACATCATCAGCGAACAACATGCAGCAAGCCATGTGTGCGCCATGGCGCAGATCATCAGCACAGGTCAAACTGAGAAACGTACATAAGGCAACATCTCCACCACCAATCGTCGTGTCTGGACGTTGTTGTCCATCGAATTGGATGCCGTGCGTGAGGCAGAAAAGCTCCCAGCATTCAGCGCCAATCTGGACGCCGTAACGACTTTCATGAAAGTAGTCACTATGCGCATGGAAAAGGATCCGACCCCGATCCTGCGTCCCCGAAACAAGAGGAACCGGCTCCCACTGTCCTACATACTGGTCATCCAGCTTTGTCAGCATGCCATGTCGACCTCTACTTATGTCGTGGCCAGCTTTCTCGCAACATCCCGTGCAAAGTGTATTCCTGGAGAGGCGATCACGATGCAGATGCACATCACGTGTAAGAGACGTAACTGACTCAGAGTCACTCACTCGAGCAGCCAACTTGGCGATGGACATCTCAGCAAAATGTCGTATTTCCCGCTTCCTGTCTGACAAGCTCATGCCAATACAGTGCTCCAAGGATTCCCGCAGCGCTCTCAAGGAAATAAACATAGGCTCCTCCATACATGAGATCACTGCCCAGACATGCGCGCACAAATCCAGCTGGCTCATGGCGAACCCCTACCCCGCGGGGCAATTCAAAGGAGTTCTGGGGCTCTGGCTATTAGACTCGCTCCTGAGTCATTCGATCCAGAACCCTAGTACTTCAGCATCTTACTATATATGTTGCAGACATTTGCTCACTATGTGTGACTATAGGTTGGACACGCATATAGACGAATAAGCAATATAGGCGGAGAGTATTTTAGGGTGTACCGGCCAGGGTTCCGCATCCACAAATTTCTGGGGGGGTATGCGAGGCCAGTAACTTGTAGAATCGTAGTGCTTCTCTGAAGCCCTATGAAACCTAAACCGCCCAAACCCGACCCTACCGTTGGAGGAAATCTGAAACCACAAGTCCGTAAATTCCTAGGAATTGCAATACTTTGTGGGCCCTAAGGAGCAAGATTGTCTCTATCGACGCTACCCTACACCTTAAAGCCCGAATTTCCGAAGCCCTATGAAACTTAAGCCTTGTTCCTTAAACACAATATACCCTAAACCCTACACCCTAAACCTAAACCCAAGTGCGGTGTGGCTCCCCGGCGGAATTTCGAGCATCACGTTGTCGCATAGCGCTAGCGCCTGACCTCCAGGGAAACCTGGGCCATAGTGTTTAGGTTTTAAGCTTTAGGCTTTAGGGTTTAGGGTTCAGAGTTTACGGTTTAGGGTCTAAACGTCTAGTATCCCCCCCTAATACCCCCTGTAATATATAGGTTTGAGGGTTTACGGCTTAGGCCCAAGGAATAACCCGAGCGTTTAGAGTTTAGAGATTAGGACCTGAACTCCTGGTATCTGCCGTAATATCCTTAGGGTTTAGGGTTTAGGGTTTAGGGTCTAAACTCCCAGTATTTCCCAATAGCCCTAGTGTTTAGGGTTTAGGGTCAAAACTCCAAGTATCCCCCGGATTAACCCTAGCGTTTAGGGTGTAGGGTCTAGGGTGTAACAACCCTAGCGTTTAGGGTTTAGGGTCTAAACTCCCACTATCCCCCCCCAATGGCCCTAGTGCTTAGGGTTTAGGGTCTGAACTCCTAGTATCCCCCTTAATGATCTCTGTAGAGTTCCCCTCAATAATCCCTGATATACCCCCCCTTGAGGTTTCCCTTAATTAAGCTTTAGGTTTAATTAAGGCCACTTAGGTAAGGGGGAAGCCGGGGGGGGGTTAGTAGAGGGGCAAACCCCCCCCAACCCTGAGCAGTAAAAACGGAAAAAAGGGATTAGGGCTTAGGGTTCTAAAGCCTGAAGCGGCTTAGAATCTTTGGTTTCGCAGTGTACATCAACTACCTTGCTGACAAAACCTTCAGATGTAGATTTACCAGGCGGGTAACATTGCTGGGTTGATGTTAAGAAATGTAAATCAAGGTACTACAGTAAGGGAAGCCATCGAAGGTTGTAGGCCATGGACCCTGGACCCTATAAAAATCTTGATAGAAGGCGTATCCAGGTACTGGGTCATAGACATGATAGTATAGAGGTGCGCTGCCTTTTGTGGTCCCGTGCTCGGGGTCCTTTGGCAGGAGGTATTATGGAGGGTTGGGAAAGGGCGTCTAACCTCCTTTCATGCGGTCCAGCTGCCTGAAATCTTTAAACCCTACTCCCAAAACCCTAAACCTTCGCCCTACACCCTAAAGCCTGAAAGGTCTACAGAGGGTTCGTGGTTTGTGGCGTGTGTCGATGTGGCCCTCGTTTGGGGGAGTGCTAGCAGCTAGCAAGACAAGAAGCAATACACGGCGCCGTCCGGTGCCGTGACAGGAGGCGTCCATTCCCCTTCACCTCGATTGGTTCAAGGTCAGGTTTCTGAACGGGAGGTAGTTCGGATTGTCAAGCTATCTTCGGTTCTACATGACGCCTTCGGGGCCTCCAATGTACTTAAGAAAGTGTAATGGGAAGTTCCTAAACCCTAAACCCTAAACCCATGAGACTAACGATCTCCTTGATGCCCTAGACACGGCTTCATACGAACGAGTATGCAAGGGAGTTGTGATTACAATATTGGGGGTATATAGGGACAATGGAAGAAACAGACTATAATGGGCATATAATAAGGATAGAGTTGAGGATTCTCGCTGCTTCCTACCAGTTATTGTTTTTGTCAAGATGGTTCAGTGGGCTACTAGTTAGAGATGATCGTCTGATAACTAATTTGACATCTAGTTAACACTAACGAACTAATCATGACTCCCGAGGACATCAAATTCAGGGTTTAGGGTTTAGGGTTTAGGGTTTAGGGGTTTCAGGTTTAGGGGTTTAGGGTTTAGGGTCCGCAAGGGCCCCCTTTTTGGGGAAGCTTCCATTTTAACGCACTCGCCCACCCATCGGATGGGGGGCTTGTCCTGATGTATCCAAATCCCGCACTGAAGTAGGTACGCTAGACCCTAAATCCTGACCTTAGGCCCTAAGCCTCACCTAAACCCTATAAACCTTACAAAACTACAACAGTTCAGCGACCTTAGGTAATTTCAGGTTGCCTCCAACCACAATGCCTAAAATCCCTGACGCAGTGTAGTTGTGTTTTCTTTTGTCGTGCTGTCAGTCTTTGGGGTTTGGGATTTGATTTGGGCTTTTGGAATTGCGCCGCTTTGAGAGGTAGGGTTCTTTCTTTTAAAAGCCGGCTTTCAGGATCTACATTTTCGTACGGGAACTAGCGAACACGGAAGAGAAACACAAGCTTGATAGAGCCCGGAGTGCGAGTAGCTTTCACAGCCTGGGTTCCCCTGAAAGAGGGGGAACATGATATCGTATAAGTCATAATGATGTAAACCCATGATTAATAAGCCCCCTCCTTTTAAGAGCCTTAATATTTGGATCTCTATTATAAGCCCTATTAAGGGGAGGGGGTTATTAATCATGGGTCTGGGTTATGAGCTACAATCATTATTTACTGGGTAAATTAATGGACATGGGTTCCTTATGGGGGACTATGTTAGGGACTGTATTAAACTACAAGAGGGACCTTAATGTCTACTCTTAAGGGTCCGTTAATACGGCTACTATTGTCAGTAGCTCACATAAGCGAAGAGATTATCCCAAAGGCCAAGTCAGCTTGCTATCCACGCGGCTCTCAGTCGCTGTGCAGCGCACACGCACTGGCTGCAGCATTGCGACATGTGGGAGGCATCCAGAGTGCGGACTTACCCTAGGGCTCCAAAAGCAGATACGATTCATAGATTGCAGGGGCAAAAGATGTTTTTTGTTTAAAAAAAAATACGTGTCATTCATACACTTGGAGCCCCAGGATACGGGATTTGGCATGAAGGTTTAGGCTTTGGGGTGCGAGGGGTTTGGGATTAAGGGTGTGGCGTCTAGGGTTCAGAGCGTGAGGTGAAGGGGGGTAACAAGGTTTAGGGCACAGGGTGTAGCGGTCCAAGTTGCAGGCTTTAGGAGTGCCATTACAACTTTATCAGGTGGGCAGGGCAGACGTTATTCCGACTATGCAATCACAGTTGTAGCCAAACGAGGTGCAAGGACAACACCCAGAACATAATTGACACTTCCGGCTATGGTGATTGCAGCTGCCTGCTAGGGATGGTGTGGAAGGCATGGAAGCAAACTCAACTTTCGCACAAAGAACTCTGGG